GGGTATTGCAGATTTATAATTGAATGAAAGTTTGATACCAAACCTCTTGATTTTATTTATTATGCTTCCAAGTTATATCTTAGAAGAGTCATAACTGCCTTTTGGTGTCTTTTCCTGTACATGTGATAATTGTTTTCCGACGTAGGGTCTTAATTGAAATGTATGTATTGTTTGATCATCAGATGAGGCTTTATTGAAGATCCGGCCTTTGATTTGCCCCTGAGCTTAATAGTCTGGCTTCTAAGTTAGAAGCATGGCTGTTCTCTGTTTGAAGTCATAGAAGGGTGGATTAATAATGAGATTTAAATTTATTTTCTTTCTTTTAAAAAGTTTATTTATAACAGCGGTGGCTGTGAATCGTTCAAATGAAACTTTCTGATTCATCATGCTCTAATTTGTCTACGATGCTGCAAACAGGATTATGTCCCAACTGTATTTGACAATTTTAGTGCAAATGTGGTTGTGGATGGAAGCACTATTAATCTGGGTCTGTGGGATACTGCAGGTAATTTTTCTCTTCTTTTTTTTTTTCAGGACATTTGTTTCAATTTTTCTTTTACCTCATTGTGGCAGACACGCTGACCACTCCTACTGTTTGATTGGTCAGGCCAGGAGGATTACAATAGATTAAGACCCTTGAGCTATCGTGGGGCAGATGTATTTATACTAGCATTTTCTCTCATCAGCAAGGCCAGCCACGAAAATGTCTTCAAAAAGGTCCAATTTCCTTTCTATTATAAGATGTCTAACCTTCAGGTTTTCTTTGCAGTACTTTAGTTGCTTACTGAAATGACTATGAGATTCAGGAAATGAATATATCGCTTTCATCCCCGTTATCTTGAAAGCAGTCCATGACAGATTTTGGCTTGTTTAACTTTTACTTCCATTATTTAATTCAAATCATTAGTGAAAAAACCAATCAACTTGATTACTTAGAATTTCCTTTTCATCAGTAAGGAGTGGTAAAGGATGCCTATGAGAGAAAGAAAATTAATAAGATATATGGTTGCTGCTATTCCACAATTTCCCAGAACTAATACATTTCCTCTTGCTATTTAATTTCAGTGGATTTCTGAATTGAGGCATTATGCCCCTGGAGTTCCAATCATTCTTGTTGGGACAAAGCTAGGTTAGTATGTCCTTGTTAATCTGGTTTTATTGTTAACTCTATTAGCTATGACCTATTTATATCTCTATTTGGTTGGGAAGGTCTCTTCATTTGTCTGCCATTATTTTAAGTTTCTACTTATTTGCATAGGAGATGATTTTCTTGAACTGTTATTGCATCCTTTATATTGGACGTCTTGCGTTGTATGTATAGATGAGCTATGAAATGTCAGACAATCCTTGAAGAGACTTTATTCTTATACCCAATCTATATCAAAATCTGTTATGTTCAGCAGAAGGATTGTTCATATATGTTCTTATTCTGATATGTCGAAAGAATTTGTTCTTGCTGTCTCTACAAATGTAGTTGGGGTCATCTGAGTTACAAGTCAATCATCCCTTTTTGAATCAGTTATTTGTCTATTCTCTGGAATTTGGGCATCGCATTTAGCATTTGACATGCTTCATCTGCACCTTGTTTTCTCCTCCTCCTGAAAAGTTGAGCTTATTGTTACTACAAGCACACAAAGTAACTCAGTGGTGAATAGAGATCCAATAACTAGTAGTGTGTCATTGTGTAGACATTTTGGAATTGTTCTTTCGAGGGAGATTATCTCTGTAATCGAATGACAGTTGCTTCACATAGTAAAATAGACTGCCAAACCATAAATGCTGATATCTACTGTCAGAATTGTGAAAGAATATTATGTAAACTTGATTCCAGATGAACTCTTGCATGAAGCACCTATAATGGTTGGATTTTCTCGTGCTTTCTGGAGAATTTCACCTAAGAACTACTTATGGTGTCGGCCATGAATTTATATTATTTGGCAGAAATATTAGTGCTCAATAGCTTTATCGATGTGAAATCTAACTGGTTGAGAGATGGAGAACTTACCTGTCACAACTGGAATTTGAAGGAGAGGCGGTGTTTGGTTGAAGTTCCATTTCTGCAGGACGCCTTATGCTTTGTGGTTTTAAATTGCTTGCCTAACCCTTGCGTTTTGAGTCATTTACAAAAAAGTTCATAAATTGCCAAGCTAATAACATAACTAGTCTCTGAATAGGAAAGTATGTGTATTGCACTAACTAATTTATACGCTATTCTAGACGTATTCTGAAACACATTCTCTGGACTTTGAAATCCAGTATAAACAGCATGGTGTCTACCTAGGGTCATCACTGAAATTCAAGGATATCTAAGGTTGACGAAAAAGTACATAAACTATTTTCAGTCAAACTTCTGCAACATATTCTGTGCGGACTTTGAAATAAAAGCTTATAATGAGCTTAATGGCTTTTTGTTGTCTACTTTTTGTTAAATAATATTCCTGCTGGTGCTCATGCTGTCTTAATGTGTTTCTAGCTTACACATTTACAATGTCTAACTTGCAATTATCTTGTTTCTTCCTTTTTGGTTAAATAGAATATCTCCAGTTCATTCTGTCTGTTTTACTCCACTTTGCTTCTTCCAATGTGGGCTGGTTCCTTTCGTTTCCTGTCTTCTCTTGTAATTTCTCGTGCTTCTGTTTAATGGCATTAATTGTGCTTCCACTAGATCTTCGTGAGGACAAGCAGTTCTTTTTAGACCATCCTGGTGCAGTACCTATTACCACGACTCAGGTAACCAACTTTTAACATATTTCAGCAATTGTGCATTCTATACTTTTAGACTGAAGGGTTAACGTTTGAGGGGGCTAGTCCTCTAGTATCTCATTTCTGCTTCCCTGTAAAGGGTGAAGAGCTAAGAAAGTCAATTGGTGCTGCGGCTTACATTGAATGTAGTGCCAAAACACAGCAGGTGATTTTCCTATCCAAATAAAGTTTACGTAGTTAAGTTATAAGTCACCTTGTTACATACTTATTTTGCACAAAACTGCAGAATGTGAAGGGTGTTTTTGATGCGGCTATTAAGGTGGTTCTACAACCGCCCAAGCAGAAGAAGAAAAAGAAGAGAAAGGGTCAGAAAGCCTGCTCTATCTTGTGATTTTTCCAAAAGAATGACAAAGAAATGGAGATGTAGACTATTGTCAACCGATTCCTACCTCAAAGAGTGCAGCATATTTGTTACTGCTTGGTAGTCTTGACTAAACACACTAGAAAAGCATCAACCTGGCTAGTGATTGAGATATGGTATGAGCAGAAAAGAGCGCCCTTCGTCTCTTTCTGAGTTAAATTTATATAATCTATGTAACATTTGTAAGATGATTATTACTTGCCTTGGCATCTCATATGTATTGTTGTAGTGGCACCCAACACGCTGATTTAGATTCTGCAAGAGGTTGGATGTGCTATTGTCATTGTGTTGAAACATTAAGATGTTGTAAACTTGTAATGTATGCTGCGTGTATATATTTAATGATTTCTTGGTTTCTTGATGGAAAAGGCTTATGAATATTTTATGCCAACAAAATGGGAGTAAACTTTTGTGGTGTGAAGAAGAATCAGCTGGTTTTTGAACAAATTTGCAGCTTTGATCTAAGGCACTGTAATTGGGATTGATTTAGTTCTCACTGAGTAATCATAAGGTAAACAACAAATAACGGAAAAGTAATATGAAACTGGAAAAAATGAGAAAGGTTCAATTACCGAACAGTTCAATGTTGTAAGATTCTTGTGTAAGCTGCTCATAGGTTCTAAATTTGAAGATGAAATCTGGAATCTGTATTTCCTCAACAATGGTCTCCTGCGTGAACATCAACTCAAACATGTGGTCTTTGGTCTTTAGTTTCAAATTATTTGAACAGCCAAAAAATTCTTCATGATGTACAAACCCATTTACTTTATTTCTTGGTTGAACATTTGGATAAGAGACCTGGCAATGCTTGCGTGAATGCGGTCACTCTACAAAAACGCTTGATTAATTAAAAAGACTAAGTTATTTCGTATATGACTGTAGTATACTGACGCATATGTAAACAGTGCAAACTAAAAGTAAGTTTAAAACATAACCTTTTCATCCATTAGAATAACCTCAATTGATAAGACTATCAGGTCTGTCGCGGTCCGAATTTTCTCAAAGCCTGACAATATGAAACTTTAATTTCCAGTTTATTGACTTATGTTAATTTCGCTAGTAAAATTACTTTCAGCCACCATTAAGTCCTCTGTTAATTGAGAAGAAATATGAATCAAAATGAAAACGTTAATGCAGAGTGTAATCAGTTAATTAACTGTCACGACCCAAGTTCGCCCTCCGTGAACTGTCGTGACGGCACCTAGTCTCTACGACTAGGTAAGCCTAACAATTGCGGAAAAAAATGATAAAAACGGAAGATAACAAATATAGTAGTGTTTAAGATGCCGCTCGGCATATACCAATACAAAATCTCAAAAAAACTGAACAATTCCCAAAATCCGGAATCTCATGAAATCACAAGCTGTGGGATAACTACAGTGTTCTAACTCCAGAGTGTCTAAACAAAAGAAATACAGAAGGGCTAATGTTATGAGAGAGAATGGAAAGGGACTCCTCGGTCTGCGGATGCGGCAGACATACCTCGAAGTCTCTGATGGATCCCCTGCCTCAAGGGTAGTAGGGCTGAGCCGAAGTACCTGGATCTGCACATGAAAAACATGCGCAGGAAGGGCATGAGTACACCACAATGGTACTCAGTAAGTGCCAAGCCTAACCTCGGTTGAGTAGTGACGAGGAAGGTCAGGGCCCTACTGATCTTAGTTGAAAAAACGAAGCAAAGCAGTATAGAATACGACAATATAATTAAATGCTAACAGTATGAAGTAACACAGGATAATAAGAGTAACAACAAATACCACAGAGAAAACTGTTGATACACAATTTTTCCCTATATATTTTTAATATGCAAAATACTTCCGAAATAGCATATGTATGCATATATAAGTATGTCCAAACGTTTTATTATTTTTCCTTAATTTTTAAAAGATTTTTAAATTAATTTATTGCCCTATTTTATCCAGAAAAGCCCAATAATTATTCCCAAATTATCATTTTATTGATTCATTTATTGAACTCTCATATTTACACTAAAACATAGCTAAGATAATTTTGCATATTTTTACAAATTTATCTAGTATTTTTAAGGCTAAATTGCATATAATTGCATTATTAGCCTCTTTTAGATCTAATTACGTTTATGTCTATAAAAATTAGGTCCAATATTTTTAGTTTGATAATTATGTATTATTAATCATTTTAGTACCTTTAATTTATTTACAGAAATTACTTTAATATTTTTTTTAAAAATAAATAAGGGAAATGTGGCTATTTAAAATATAGCCAAATTGTGTTTCAATTGTGGCCTGCATGGAACCCCAATTTTAAACCCAATTACCCTGACCCAATCCCCATCTGAACCTACCCAAACCCAACCCCGTTAAACCGCTCCACGTACCCGATCAATCCAGGCCGTTGATCAAAATGATCAACGGCCACCAAACCCCCTTTCCATAATTAATCCCAAACAACCCCTAAACCTATCATTTCTCTCATTCAGCCGCATCCAAATCCCAATTCTCTCTCAAACTCTCTCTCAAACCCTAGCCGTCACCCTCAACCACCACCTAAAATCGCCCAAATCAATGGCTTCCAAAGCCATTGGAGGCCTGTATCTACCTCATTTGGCTTCTATATGCCCGATTATCACGGTTTCAAGGCTGAATCCTGGGAAAGTTTGGTCCAGACCTTGGTTGTTTTCAGTTCTATGGCTGTCTCCGGTCACCTTTGACTTTGCTCCGGCCAGCCGTGGCTATTCAAGCCTGATTCTTGACTTCTCCTGCTTAGATCGATGATTTTCCAAGCCTTTCTCACCATTTGGGTTTCGTCTGAAACCCTAACCTTTGAGGTTCTTTCGATTTCTTTTAGATCCGTTTAGATCTGTGTTTGCTCTAAAACTTCTAAACGTTTTCTCAAGGTTTCTTCCAAAACTTTGCCTTCAAAACCCCTTTATCTTTTCCGATTTAGGTTTTGTTAAGTTATTTCTAAGCTTTCTCTGATTTTTGACATGTCCTACTGTGTTTCCTTATGTCGTTCTTTTACTAGCGTTTGCATGTCAAGAATCTTAGTTTCTTTTGAGGTTTCTGAATATTTTTTCGTGTTAGTATTTGTTCGATTATTTGTTTTTCATCTCTAGACTCGATTGATGGTGAAAACCCTAAAACTTTGGGTTCATTCGAGTTCTGAGACTATGTGCTGTGTGATTTGCTTATTCATCATCCATGAATTTGACTGGTTTCAAAACCCTAATTTCTTTGGACCTATTCGAGCCTCTGAAACTGCTTCATCTATTTGAAGTTACTCGACTGGATTCAAAGTCCTTTTTGTTTCAACTTCTATTTCTCTATGTGATTTGGTTTCCTGCAATCACTGAAACTAGACTATATTTTTCAGAAAGGTCTTTTTACTTGACCCTTTTTGCATGCTTCTGATGCCCTCTTTTCCCTATTACTAAATTGACCTATGTGACTACCATGTTTCACTGTCTACTGGACTTTGTAATTATTATTGCATGCTGCTTCTCTTTGCCATAGTTTAGCCTCGCATGCCTAATGTTTATGTACTCTTTTATATGCTAAATTTCCCTCTAAAATGACCTTCAATTTTGGACTGATTTCAAACCTCCTTGTGAAATTCTGATTGCACTCGTGTAATTGATTCTTTCCTTGTTTTACTGATTTCCCTGTTTCTTAGATTGATTTGAAAACATCCCTTTAGACTTTTGATTCTCTTGTCTTTAACTTGGTTTATTTGTTTATTCATGGGAACCCATGTTATTCTCCCCAAATCAGTAATCTCTAATCCCTGACTCCTTGATTTACTGTGTGCTGATTGTCTCCATATTCTGCAAATTTATTGTGTTTCTCACCTTATTTGGTTAACCGAGTATTTCAAAGATTCTTCCCTTAATTAAACCCCTATGTACTTACCCCTAATTTTCTATTCTGCACATGATGCTCTACTTGATTTCTTTCCTTAAATGTTTTCTGCCCATTACCGTTTGATTTTAACTCCTTAATTAAAGGAAGTCCTTAGTACTGATTTGATTTTAACTAGTACATAGTTCCATAATTGCTGCTGAACTATGACTCTTGCCTTATTTTCCACCTGTTTCCATACTATAAATACCCTGCTCTTTCATTAACACACACACACGAACACTCTTAGTTTCTGAACTCACACTCATACTCAAAATATTCTCTCTTGCTACTGGTACTGTGGCCTGTCTTCAAAGTCCGGCTACCTGCTTTTACTGCATTTTTGCTTCTTTGAACTGGTATGTCTTGATTAAGATTTCAGCATCACAACAATATGTTTACTTAATACTTTTGTCTTCTTGTCTGCCTACTGCTTGTGTTTAATTCAGTACTTTATTCTAAGCATGTTGTAATTCCCTTCTGCCTGTTCTGAATCTATCATGCATCCTAAACCCCTACCCCAAGGTGTTTGATACTAATGGCTTGTTTGAGGCATGACAGTATTAAGCATTGCTTTCTATGACTCAAACTAGATTCCCCTGGGATCATAACCTCTATGTTACCATTATATGTTGTGTATTCTGGTTGATTTTGTAAGCATAACAACACTCCCTATTGCTGTGCATGCCCAGAATTAACTAATGCCTAAGTACATAGGCTCTTTGCAGTTCCCAATCCCTGAACCCCTTTGTGTGAAATCCTTCACTCTGTAACTGTTTCCCAGCACATCTTTCCCTCTTCTTTACTTCCTTAGTTCTTAAAGCTCTGTTTCTTCACTTGCACTCTCTCTTAGACTTAAGTTCTGCCCCCCTCTTGTGAGTCTTGCCTTGGGACCCATTGAGCTCCCTCTGAACTTGGACACTTAAGGGCCGACACTTCCACACTGTACTTGTCCCTATTCTGGTGATACAATTTGGGTGTGAGCACTGCCCGGAGTCCCATTGAGGCTCTTAGGGAACTCTGACACACTCAAATTGGAGAAAGGCTTTGGATCAATGGACTTTGAGTTGGTCTATCTCGTAACTCAGAGAGGAAGTCAAGAATCAGGCTTCCTCTGATTGTACTTTTCTGTATACTTTTCTGATGTAATTTATTATTCTGGTTTGTAATAAGTTGTAATAAACATTTGGGGCTGGCTAGTGAAAAAAGGGTGGGGAACTATGCATGCAAGTGTAGAAATCATGCCTATAGGGCATTTTTTTTTAAATTTCTGCATATTCAAACTTCTCCTAGAAATCATGCCTCTAGGGTGTTTTTAACTTCTGCATATTCAAACTTCACCTAGAAATCATACCTATAGGGTGTTTATAACTTCTGCATATTCAAACATCACCTAGAAACCGTGCCTATAGGAATATTTTGCATAATTCAAGCTGCATTTAGATACCATGTCTATAAAGTTTAACACAAGTTTCTGCATTTAGATACCATGT